GAGGGAGGGAGGGAGGGAGGGAGGGAGGGAGGGAGGGAGGGAGGGAGGGAGGGAGGGAGAGAGAGAGAGAGAGAGAGAGAGAGAGAGAGAGAGAGAGAGAGAGAGAGAGAATGGGATGGGAAATAGACCAAAGATGAAGAACCTTGACCAACCATCACTCATTTCAGCTGAACCTCTTAAAAAAACATTTCCTGGTGGTGCCATTATTCCTCCTGAGAACTTCTTCCACAAGCTGATGTCCATCTGAAGGAGCGCAAAAAAGCCACCTGATTAGGGGCTACAGTTCTCACCCCCATTACCCAACCCAATGGTCAATAGGGACATTCACCACAAAGCATCCAGGTTCTTGGCTTCTCTTAAGCCTCCAACGAAGCGATTTGCTTGGCTTCTCTCTCTCTCCCCCCCCTCCTCCTATTTTTGCTTTTAATTGTTTTTATTTGATCTACAAAATGTCTCTCCCCATCTGTTTTGCTTTCATGTGTTGGGGATTAGCATAACGAATCAGACAGACACACACACCCCACCAACTTGACAAATGAATTGCAACTTTGAGTCCCTCTTGTTGCCATCATGGGCCCGGCGGGTAGCAGGGGAAAATTGGGTGGGGAGGCCGATGGATGGAATTTCAAGAAGAGGCACCAGGCCCAAATAGCCTGGCCCCTGAAATGATTGGACTTGCAAACAGCTCAAACCCAGCCGCCTTGTTTGGCAACGAGAAGCGGGTGTAGGTTTGAAGTAAGCCAGCCATATATACTCAGTGGGTATAGCTCTGAAATCAACCTGTGCACCACAAACGCATCCACACACTGCTTTTCACCCAGTGCCTGTTCTCATCAGACAGCAGAATGTGTGTGTGTGAGAGAGAGATGTTATCCTGATGCTAAGAAGCATCACTATCTCTACAGTGGGGACCGAGCTCGTATACAAGTTTGTATCTCCAGGGTGGGTTTCTGTGAGTTGTAGTTGGAACGCTTGGAATGGTATGGTTAATTGGGTTCAAATGGGTTCCATGGTAGAGTATATACCTCTGCTTTTGGTGAACTCTGGATTCGAGGGAGAGGTGGCTGGGAATGAACAGGGAAGGCCTCCATTCTTTTTGAGCCAAAGTAGCTAGATGATAAAGGGGAGTGTGCCTGCAGACATGTGTGAGTGGATGGTGGATGGGTATATTATTGAATTGTTCTCTACAGAGGATTTCCCCCCCCCCCCCCATACGCATCCATCAGAGTCCCAACAGATGCAATGGGGGGAAATCTTGCTGTGGTTCTGGCTACATTGACCCAACATCCTTCATGGTTTCCACTGCTGATGCTTCTCCAACATCTGCAAGTGCCTCTGTGTGCATGTGACTTTCTTTCCTGTCCTCTTCATTCTGGAGGAGATCTTTTGGGGCACTATTGCACAAGAAGTGCAGGTTGATTCACCCTGCAGAGACCCCTCCCCCCCCTTTTCCAAAATTGAAGGAGGGGACATGCTTCTATTCACACACACACACACTCCAAGAAGAGAAGATGCTCACCCCGTCTAGGCTGGGAGTTCCCCCCCCCCTCCCCACAAGGCTAAAACAGTAGACCAGGCCTGCGGCAGTGGCATATGGCATCACATGGCATGAGGTGGGAGGAGGTGGAGTGAATTGGGGAGGGGAGGGGAGGATCCCAGAGAGGCAGGAGGAGGGAAGGGGCTCAGCTTACCTGGACATGTGTTCCCGTTGGGGCCGGTGCGCTTTCTCCAGCCCCAGTTTGGTGAAGATACCCACCAACACCATGACAGCAACCACCCCACAGATGATGTAGACGATGAGGTTGGTCTTGTCACGGGTGGGGTCGTGGGATGAGTCCATGGGCCGGTTGGTCATCTTGCGCCCGTTCAGCCAGGGGGGCTTGATATAGTTGGTGCAGACGTCCTGGTCTAGCCGCCTCTTCTGATCCTGGCAGCAGAAACGGAAGCCGCACGTGCCACAGCAAAATGGGTAGCCACGGACGCTGCAGTTGAAAGCCTCGTCCCACTGGCCCATCACATCAAAGTAGCCCCGGCATGCCTCCGGGCTGGGAGGCGGCTCCGAGGCGTCGGCGGGCGGCGGCTCACCCGCTCGGCTGTGGTTCCCGCCGGAATCGAACAGCATCACGATGCTGCCCAGGTGTTGCCCGACTTTCTCCTGCGCCCGGCACAGGAGCGGCGGGAGGAGGTCTGCTGCCAAGTAGCCCAAAACCAGACGGAGGAAGCCCTTCATCCTTCGCAGCGCACCCCCGGGACACCTGAGGTTGCCTTCCCCGCCGCTGCCGCCGCCGCCGCCGCAATTCAAGGCTCCCGACGCTCCGGCGCTGCGCCAAGGATTGTACATAAAGGGGGTCTTCTCTTTTGGGCAGGCCCCGCTGATGCGCTCTTCCGCTCTTCTCCCCGCAGTTGGTAGCGAAGGCTGCGCTTCAGCACCGCGGACAGCTCCGGGGTTTCAGCACCGCGGACAGCTCCCGCGAGCCTGGCAGGGCCGCCTCTGCCGAGCATGCGGGGTTGGGGGGCGGGGTACCCCCTCCTCCTCCTCCTCCTCCTCTTCCTCCCCCCCGCCAGACCCTCCCCTCCTCCTCCTCCTCCTCGCCTCTTCCCACCTGCTCACCGCTTCCAAAGCTGGGGAGGGGAAGTGTGAGCGGCGGCACTTGTGGAGTGTGGAGAGGCACCCCGAGAGTGAATGAGTGGCCAAAAGAAGGGGGAGGGGGGAGGGGGAGGAGCAGGAGCGGCAAGAGTCGGGCGGGGGAGGGAGAGGGGGGGCAACTGGGGTGGGGGTGGGGGATTCACGCCGTAGGGAAAAGGCAAAGGGTGGGGGTCAAAAGACGCCACGCGAGACGGAGAAGGGAGGGGGAGAGAAGGGAAGGGAAGGAGGTTGGAAACAGAAGGGGGGGGTTTTGCAGGAGGGAAAGCGAATGGGGCGAGGAGGAGGAGAAAAAAATTAAAGTCAAGTCCCTTCCCTCTTCCTTCTCCCTTCAGGGTCCCCGCTCTTCCTCCGCCGCCGCCACCATCTCCGCCCCACACCCCTCTCCGCCAGAGCGCTGGCCAAGTTCTCCAGCGGGGAAAACTCTCTTGCTAGGAGACGCGCGCCCCCCCCCCCCCCTCCTCCCCTCCCTGCAAGGAGGAGGGGAGGAGACTTGGGTTGCTGCAGCTTCTCTAAAAAAGACCTGCAGGGGAGTCGGGAGCAGAGCGTGGGTCTCTTCTTCTGCTTCCACCCCCCCTCCAACTAAGGCGCGCGCAGACACACACACACACACACACACACACACACACACACACACACACACATGTCCTGCCGATGGAGAAGGAAACCAGCCGAGATTGGAGTAAGAGCCAGAGGCGATCTGATGGGGGGTGGGGTGGGAGACGGAGAGGGGGCCGGGGTGGCGCCTCTAAATCTCTTCCCGAGTCTTCCTAAGTCTCTTCCTCGCACCTTTAAACCTTCTTCCACCAAAGTCCTTTAGATTAGAAGGAGCAGCGGGGAGGGCTGGTGTTGGATGGATGACAAAAACTGGAAGGAGAAGCCCGAATGGGATAATGACCCCAGACCAGTGAAAGGCAAGATTCAGACAATCTGCTTAACCGGGGGTTTGTTTGTTTGTTTGTTTTTAAAGCAAAAGTTTGATCAGAGTTGGGTTTTCCCTGGCCTGACATGCAAATAAATACTTCCTATTTGCTTCGTGTGTGGGTCAGTGTCTTGTGCCCCACCACAAGTGGGTTCCTTCAGAATACAGATTGAGCATGGGTGAATATAGAATAGAATAAAATTCTTTATCGGCCAAGTGTGTTTGGACACACAAGGAATTTGTCTTTGGTGCAAATGCTCTCAGTGTCCATCAAAGAAAAAGAGACATTCATCAAGAGTCAAGAATCATCAGGTACAACACTTAATGACAGTCATAGGGTACAATAAGCAATCCAATCATACTAGGAAACAGTCCATATAGATCATAAGGGATACAAGCGACAAAAGTTACAGTCATAAATGAGAGGAGATGGGTGAAAGGAAGGATGGGAGGATTAATAGTAATAGTAATGCAGACTTTGTAAATAGATGGACAGTGTTGAGGGAATTATTTGTTTTGCAGAGTGATGGCATTCGGAGAAAAACTGTCCTTGTGTCTAGTTGTTCTGGTGTGCAGTACCCTATAGCGTCGTTTTGAGGGAAGGAGTTGAAACAATTTATGTCCAGGATGTGGCATTTCTATCTATCGCAAGTGTCTTCAGGGACTTTCCTTGTCTAGCCAGGAAAGTCCCAGTATGGACCTGCATCTGTCATTTTGGGAGCCACTACAAATCGAATTGTTTCCCGGTGTTCCGCTAGCTCTAGTCTCGCCGGTTTGGTTAAGTGAGTGGCGTAGGCTCCTCCCAGCAGGGAGCCATCTACTTGTTCGAAATGCATTGGATGGACTAGCTTTTTCACTCTGATCCCCAGTTTTAGGACTGTGGTTAGGTTGATCAGGCATCTGGTGCAGCCTGACTCTACTAGGGCTTGGAAAGGTCCCTTTATTCCCTGTTTTGGGGGCCATAAGCTGTATTGGGAAGACGAAAGGAGGAACCGGTCCACTCACCATTGGGTCATTTTCGCCCTCGTCCTCGCTGTCATAAGGATCCGGGGACTGGTCATCGTTGTCTGGGGGTTCCCTCCCCCTTCAGCTGGACTCCCAGAATTCCTGAGCTAACATGACTGGAGGAGCAATTCTGGGAGTTGAAGTCCACAAGTCTTAAAGCTGTCAAGTTTGAAGACCCCTGGTCTATCGGATTTCATAGTGTTGCTCTGTCGCTTAAAAGAGGCAGGGGAAAGAATATATCAAGGTTCCTACATCACTTTAAAGCAAGCCTTTCTTGTTTTCTGGCAGACGTTTCATTACCGAACTAGGTAACATCATCAGTGTTGAGTTCAACCCTGAGCTACAAATCGCCCTTCTTGTGTTTACAATCAAATGACTTCATGACTGGCCTGGTTCACACAGCATGCTGAGAAAACAGCCAGGTCTCCAGTAGATGCTAGTCATAAGCTAACCAACCAAGGGGGCGTGCATAAGCGCATCAACGTGCCTACTGTCCCTGTCCTATTGTTTCTCTTATTCTTCTTTTATTTTTCTTATATGTACCCATTTCATGTATTCACAACTATGTATACACTTATACTTATTATCTTGTAAACAATTGGCAAATCAAAGAAATAAATAAATAAAAATAAAACCCATTTTAGCCTGATCTAGCATGCTTTGCCACTAGGTTTGTACATAGTCCTACAAAGTAAAAGCAGAATGTAAAGGTAGTGAGTGGGCATTTATGAAATTAATTTATGACATCATTCCAACATGTGTTCCTCTACCTCTACCTCTACCTTAGCAACTTTGAGATGTGTGGACTTCAACTCCCAGAATTCCTCAGTCAGCATGCTTCCCACCGTTTGTTGAAAACACCTGGTTTGTAGTGGCTGGTTTACTTTTCCAAATTGTGGACATTCTGGTGTAGGGACCCAGAATTCTGAACATTTGGGGGGGGGTTGAAGTCTACCCTGGAGGTTGTCTAAGCAAAGGTGATCGTAAGAAACTGCATATGAATCCAGGCATTGGGGTTAGTTCTGAAAACCAGGATTTAACTTGCTGAGTTAACTTTAGGTTGTCATGTTGAACTAGCACAAGAAAAGAATTTTAAAAAGTAGTTATTATTTGATTGACAAACTGTGTAATTACCCAGAAAGCACTTCCTGGCAATAGTGACTATTAGTGATTTTTTTTCTTAGCATCCAACCAAACCATCTGTAATAGCCAAATTGAACAGGTGCAGTTAGCACCTTCCTTCCTCCCTCCCTCCCTCCCTCCCTCATTTCTCCTTCCTTCCTTCCTTCCTTCTGAATTCCTTCCTTCCTCCCTCTAGCTGAATTCCTTCCTTCCTTCCTTTCCTTCCTTCCTTCCGTTCCTTCCCTTTCCTTTTTCCTTTCCTTTCCTTTCCTTTTTCCTTCCCTTCCCTTCCCTTCCCTTCCCTTCCTTCCTTCTTCCCTCGTTCCCTCCCTCCCTTCCTTCCTATCTTCAATTGTAACCTTTCTGGTTAGCCTTTGGGACTTTCCTTCCGCAAAACGGCACTCCTTATTCCCCCACCCCTAAAAAAAAAAAAACACTTTGCAAAAACCTGCAAGGCTGAGAATGAGTAGATACAGCTTACACTTTCTCTGCTTGTGGTTTGGGGCCAATCGACTCTTTGACATCGCCAAAATGGATCTGGAAAGGCTAAGCACGAAACGACTTGCTGAGATTGTTGCCACCGACTGATTAAAAACCACCCCATTGGGGTCCCAGCAATTCCTTCTTATGGAGGCTGGGTTGCCAAGTCCATCCAGAGGGGAAGCAGAGCCTCTACCAAGTCTCCACGGAGATGCGGTTTTCCCCCCTCTGAAATTTTACAAGGGAGATGGATCAAAATAAAAGCATCCAGCGTGAATTCTTTGGCGTTATCCTGTTCTTACAGCCAACTTAAAAGGCACTGGGATAAATTACTTCTATATTTCAGCCCAGGCAGCAGAGTTCTGTTGTAGCAAGAAGAATGGAGCAATCAATTAAGGCACCATAATTATGAGCGAAACTGAAAGCTGAGCGAAGTGTAATGGGCTATAGATGGAAAATTTGTTCTCCGGGGACACTCTTGACTTCCAACTGCCATCACTATCCCAAGACATCTATATCATCTCAATATCAAATTCATTTTCCAGGTTTCAGAGCTTTCCTGGGGGAATCATTGTAAAGGATCAAATCACCTCATTGTGATGAATTTATGTTTACCGACAAAGAAATAAAGGGAGACTACTACGGATCTATTTCCAAGCTATTTAGCTCTCATCAGCTAACCCAAAGCCTTCTGGGATTCGAACCCGGGCTGCTTACATATTAGGTAGGTGTATTAACTTCTAAGCCACGGTCTCTCCTTGCTTTGTTGGCTATACTAGGGGGGAGATTAAATGTTTTTTTCCCCCTGTGAGACCAGTCTATCGTCAGGGCAACCTGGTCTACCCAATTATGGGACGTAGCAGACTGATAGATCGGTCTCACCAGAAAAAAACAAACACCTCATTGTGATTTTCTTTTTCTTTCTTTCTTTCTTTCTTTCTTTCTTTCTTTCTTTCTT